GGTTCACGGATCACTGCCTTATGTGTTTCAATATCTGCATAAATTTCAGCCCCCCCCCCCCCCAATATTTATTTTGGCTTCAATCACCCCCCCACTAAAAAAAAATAGATCTTTGTGTTTCAATTACTAAGTTGTTCCCCTCAATATCAAAGTCTCTCCCATTCCTTTGCCAATGAAATATTAATGTTTGATTCAAAGTTTTTAGTTCCAACCTGAAAAGATGGTGCATTTCCACAGTCAATAATGATACATAATAGGGCAAAACATTCTAGCTTGACTTGTGGTTTTCAGTATTGTACATGTACTGTGTTTCAAGGAGTGTTTCCTAACTGTTACTCTTATATTAACATTATATAGCTATTGGCACTGCCCTGCTGCGTTTGCACAATTTACCATCCTGTTGCACAGCAGAGAATGTTGCTGCCCACTGGACTGTGTCTGCATGTCTGCCAAGAGACGCAGCTGCTGCTCAGTCCACTGCTTCACCTGGCTGCTGTCATCACTCAACCTCTTCAGACTATCGGAGGTCCTGTCCCACACAACAACAACGGCAACAATGACTTGGAGAAGAAAAATATATTCATGACATTAATTATTGATGACTAATTCCTACAAAGCTTCTATTATACACTGTGAAGACTTGTTCTCATTTTGTCAGACCGTCCGGCAAGAGCATGACATTGCTATATAATTCCATTGTAACAGATAGGATAAGGAGAACTGCAGAAATCTATCTCATGTACCTTCAGATAATGTTACAATATCTGTGTTTTTTGCCCTGAAATCTGTTTAGAATTGAGCCATCGCTCCGGAGACTCACAAGTATAGCAGAGTACAATATGATTACATTTTAGACATGACTACCTCAGCAACCATTATGCTGCACAGTAACGTCAAATCAGGGCTCCCGTTACATCCATAACATTGGAACGCTGATGAGACTGATGAGCTAAATATGACGCTGAGTCAAGCACTTAGTTAGTGTCACCAACTAATGGACCAGGCTTTGGGTAATAAGCCTGACTGCATGCCCTATAATCCAATGCATCATTGCCTGTATTAACTTACCAGTGTTCAATATATTTTTGTTAGATTATGGCCATCTATAAAGCTCCTAGTCGAATTTAATATTATTGAATGTAGATCTTTTGACTGAAATCTCTGATGCCAATTATGAGTGGAAAGCACCCTATAATTTCTAAAATGCCCAATTTTATTCCCTTCAGCTGCACTTCTAAAATACTACCACATATTTCTTTTCTTGCAGTATCTTACACAGGCTTTTATATATTCAAAAGGTGGTTTTTTTTCCCCTGTTAAGAAGCACTAGAACTTACTTGATCTCCAGGAGCTGCATGTCTCTGTACAGATTTCCCTGCGCAATCTTCAGGCTGCTTTTGTGTTCTACCATGGCAGTGTCCAACTTTCCCACACTCTGCAACCACTTGACAGACAGACTTAATTAGACTCACTGTGTCTCAGTCAAGTTTCTTATATGTACATATAAACACATGAACTGGCACCCCATTGGGGGTATTGCCCTGTTTTGTGGAAATAAACTTACAGTGCATATAAATAGCTTTAAAGCTATTTACCTTTTGCACAGTGCAGTGTACATATACTATATACTATGGTATTTTTCAGATGTTATATACTTTAACTTTTGAATCTGTTATCTTTATGCAAGACTGTTATTTCCTATATGTGTTTTGAAATTCCTCTGTTCATACAATTTCCTGTGACAATTTTGTAAACATAGCTATTAATACATAGCTGTGAATAATCGTTATGGTCACAACTCGGCTAAGTGCGAAAATGGTATGAAAATATTGAGGTACATCTCAGGCATGCATGTTGTCGCACAGTAGAATTACTGGTTTCAACCCCCCCCCGGCTCACAATTAGTTTATTCCCAATCAGGCACGTAGCCAGATAGCAAAATAACAAGCTTGAACCTCCTATTAAATTTACCAGACCCTTCTCAAAATTAATTTCTGGTTATGGACCTGACCTCAAGTACCAGTAATCTGGTTCTCTCCAGATAAGGTAAATAGCACCCTATCTGTTTGCATATAGATGTTTAAAATGCAAAGAATTTACAGTAGGAATCACTGACAAAATGAAAAGAAAACTATTTCTGTGGATATATAGAGTTTCACATTATTTTAAAACAAAATCAGGAAAACACAGCTTGACATAAAAAGTCAAATGGAACTATAGAAAGCGTAATCACATTAACCTTTAGCTCAGTCTCCCGAAGTTGTAGTGCCTGGCTGGTTTGGAGCTTTGTAATCTGCTGCTGGAGTTTATAAATTTCCCTTTCAGTTGCACTGATATCCCCAGAGAGTTTGGCAATGCTGGCATCACACCTGGAACACAGAACAGAGCATAACAGTCCACTGTACACCTACCTTGTATAGTAATTGTATTTTTACTAATGACCACAATTCCCTGCACTGCAAACAAAAAATATACGCTAAAGCAAAAAATAGCAGTGTATACTGCTACTAAGTGGCACTGCTTCACTTTTCAGATTTTCAATGTGTCTACAAAAATTTGAAAAGCATCCATCAAATACTTTTTGAGTTATCAGGCTAACAGGATCAAGCTTCTTGAGGCTGCCCTTCTCTTTATCACTATGCATTGCTGCTTCAATTTTGGTGTGATTTGTCTCAAAATTTGATCAGTTCACCCATACAGATTTTCACCCATACAATGTCTCCGCAATACTCGAAAAAGGTCCATCATATATATTTTTAGTCATTGCACTAACAGGATCATGTCTGAGACTGCCCTTCTCTTTGCTGTCACTATACTGTATGGTACTAGTAGTTCTGGAAGCAGGGCTGCCAAGGGTGCTTCAGCACCCCCTCTGGCTGTTGGTGGTAACGCAGTGTCAAAATATTGTAGGGCAGATGGCTCATGCATGTAGTTTTCGGCAAAGAAAAACATTGTGTTATGTTAATTATCTCACAATGGCTCAGATGTGACATTATGATTATTTCTCTAGAAAATAAATTGTTTATAGCTACTGATCAAACAAAAGAACTATTGGTTATTCCAACTTTTATCACCCAGAGCTCAAAATGTTTTCATGCACCTATGTGTGGCACTCCTTCAGTTTTGGTGCAATTTATTTCAAAATTTGATCAGTTCTAGATCTTCACCAGATCTTTTGAAAGGCATCTGCAAAACTTGAAAAAGATCCATGAAACATTTTTTATCATGCTAATGAAAAAGTACATGCAAGGATGGCAGACTAGTCCCAAAATCACATGTATTCCCTGTCCTGGGAATGCAATAATCACAATAGCGATGACCAGAAATTTGAATATATTATAGGGAAGAATAAACTACAATTCACCCTAAATCCATCCAAGAAACCACAATTAATCTTTCCAAAATATCCCTAATACTCAAATTTTGGCATGATAAAGAAGACGTTAAACACCAATTATCTGTGGCTAATGGGCTGTGGTTGTTAAGATTAGTTACTGAGAATGCGTACTGGTGTATATATTTCCCTGAAGGGCTGCAGCTGCGCCAGAATGACACTCACTGTACCGGGACGTCTTTATCCGGATACCGGATACGGGCATTAATATATGCAGTTTGTTTCGGCAAGAATTCATACTGAATAATCCAATATGCCTTGGCTACTCTCTAGGAAGAGTCTGTCAGTTACAAAAAGGTTTGTATTTCCCCAGAAAAAGGGGTTCTGTGGAGCTACCTGATATGATTTACAAATTCACATCGGACCATAATGTTATGCTAAAAGACCTGTGACCTTTATAAGCGCTCGAGCTAGGTAATAATTAATCACGTGAACATTCCAAGAATTAGAATAGCGTAATTTAGTGTAGTAGGGAAATCACTTAGTACTGTAGTCTGGGTGTAGTGGGGACAGACATCTAACACTTATCATGAAACTTCCAGCAACACAAGCTTGCATTATCATGTGAAAAGTGAGATACACAATCATGAAGTATTAATTACAATTTTGCTTTTGTCTTTGTGGGTGATATTGTTGCCTCACACCTCGAAAGCTGGAGGTTTGAATTCCACATTGACTCTATTCGTGTGGGATTTGGATATTCTCCCGTGTGATGCTGTTTTCCTCTCATAGTCTGGGGACATGCAGTTAGGTTAAATGGCACCTCTAACCCCCCCGAGTACCACAAGGAACCTGACCAGGATAAGCACTTAGAAAATGAATATATGGAACTGTTTTTTAGTAGCAGAAATGTATGCACATTTTTTTTAGTTTTGAGTGAAATATACTATGCTAAGAAGGTTTGCTCCTGCTAAGGTACCACGTAAACATGTTAAACTTCTGCTAAGGTACCACGCAAACATGTTAAAGTCCTGCAAAGGTACCACGTAAACATGTTAAAGTTCTGCTAAGGTACCACGTAAACATGTTAAAGTCCTGCTAAGGTACCACGTAATCATGTTAAAGTCCAGCTAAGGTACCACGTAAACATGTTAAAGTTCTGCTAAGGTACCACGTAAACATGTTAAAGTCCAGCTAAGGTACCACGTAAACATGTTAAAGTCCAGCTAAGGTACCACGTAAACATGTTAAAGTCC